TGTGTATAAGAGACAGCTTGTGAGTTCTCCAGCTCTCCCTGACAAAACACACCTTGTTGGAAGGAAATGGAATGGGTTTGTAGCATCCCTAAACATTGTATTTCCTTTACAATTTTCTGTAGTCATCTGAAAGACAAGCCAGCTCTCTCCATTCCTCTCGGGTGAGCCTGGCTGGCACATCCCAGTGCCGCAGTGAGGGAGAGGTGTCTCTATGGACTCACTCATTCCCCTACTGGTGCATTTTTGAGATGAGGGCTGCTTCATACTAAGTTTCTATGAGCCACAGCAGACCTCACGCAGAAAAAAAAGATTAAAATATCCTTCCAGGTGTGATACGAACCACAAGGCCACATGCAATGACCGATTTCATTTTACCAATTACCTCTGAGTGGGACCATTGCTTTTTAAAAGCAGACAAAAACCACAAGCCAACAACAACAACAAAAATCAGAATAATCAGAGATTTTTCTTCTATTTCTTGTACAATACTAACATAAAACCCGGGGAATTTTCATTTTTTTTCCGAAGTTTGTGGCATTCTGGGGCAGGTTTGGTGCCGGGCGGGAGGGCCCAGGAACTGGCCGTGGTGCTGACGCAGCCCCCGAGGCTCCTCCCGTTGCCTCGTGTCAGGAACAGTCTTGGCTGCCTAATCAGCAATTAGCGCTCATCAGCTGGGCTGTGGTAGCTAACGACCTCAACACTTCGAGCTGCTCTTGGGAAAACAGAGTGCTTCTGCTTAAAGCCGTCCCAGCATTCAAGGGGATGTCTAACCACCCGTCTGCACGCTCTGGTCTCCAACACAGACGCATTTGCGCTCACCCTAGGATCAAATTAGGAGTGTGGTCACAGACATTCTTTGCACTTGCTCTGGAATTTTTGTAATTTGAAGATCCAGCCTTTTACATTTTAAAGGATCAAAGGTCAAATCATTTAATTTACATACATACAAACATCCAAGCATGAAAGATGCCCCTTGAATGTGTGCCCCGATTCTAGGGGAACACTGGGATGGTTTTATTTCTCCAGATTTTCCATCATGCCTCAGAACAGGAACTCTGGGTTAACAGTCATGCAAAGTGACAGCCCTAAATCCATTCACTGTTATTATACTCTATAACATTTACACACAAACCTCATGTATATCTGCATCAGGGAACTCCTGATAGTATTAGCAATGAAAATTACATATCCACCCAGTTTATGGGCAGAGTGCATGAACGAGTGTTAGCTGTACTGGCACAGGGAACCTGTTCAACCTCTGCAAATTGTTCACGGTTCAGAAGCACCAAGTGAGCAGTAAGATTGATTTGGGAAGTTTGTTTTGCACAGAAATTAATGCCTCATAACCCTCAGCCAACATTCCTCTCGCCACATACGTTTTTCCTTTTATGACTAAGGTGACCTCTTGCATTCAGAAAAACAATATGAACCAAAAGCTAGTGAATTAAGTGAACTTCCCAAAATGTCTAATTCCAGCCTTATTGGAATGGAGGGTTTTCATTTTGTTTCTTCTGTCTCCTGACTTTGTTTCAAATTACCTGCTTAGTGTTTGAAATTTACCTTTTATGAACTTGATAATCCATTTCTTCTTTACATGAGCTTCATCAATTATAAAATGTTTATTTAATGGCACTTTTTATTCAAATAAGTTTTGCTAGTCACATGACCTGGCCAGAACAGGAGAATTTCAGTGGCAAGGAGGGAAGAGATGTACAACATAAACATTAACTGCGTTTCTACATGGACTGACCTAAACTGTAATTAAACATTATCACCTTAGGGATAAATGAACTCCTGTGACTCCCCATGTCGTACCTTCTGCATGAATTATGAATGAAATGTAGCTACAGAGGAGAAATGCCACTCCTTCTGTCCAGCTCTTTTCACTGGAAAAGTCTGCTAGAATGTGGGGTGAGCAGACTCCAAGGGACACCAAGAGTTCCCTTCTGTGTCCTTGATGAAGATGTGTCAAGCCCAAATATCAGCCAAGTTTAGCAGCAATTAACACAGAACAGAAAGCTTCACAGAGGCCAAGAATTTGGAAGTAATTTCATTGTTGCTCAAAGTGCCATCTTGCTTGCTGATTTCAATAAAAAGAGGGTTTTAAGCTCTACTCTCCCTGGGGAATAGCAATAATTCTTAGATCTTTGCAAATTAGGTAGGGGAGGTGGAAGAGGAGGGAAAATGTCAGTGATGTAAAATGACACTAAGCTATTGCTCTAATTCCCCAAAGAATGTTCTTGGGCTTTATCCTCTGCTGCTGTTTCTCTACTTGTTCTGCATGTTCAGTACCAGCTTCCTCCAGGCTGCAGAAGTATCCGATTAAGCTTTTTATTAGGAACACATGTGGTAGGCAGGTGCGTTCAGTCAGCCTGTCAGACAGCCTGGGAACACACACGCTGCCAAACAAAAAAGGGTGGAGCTGGGATGTCCCAAGCATTCTGCAGGCAAATGAACAGAGCAGGAAAGACAGGAAGAGACAAGTGTGCCCAAAGGGAATGAGGAAAACATAAGCCTGTGCATCCCTCTGCCCCCTCAGTCATCTGAAGTTAACTTTTTAATAGCGAGTTGAAAAAGTGTTCAGGAAACAGCAGCACTGAACTAAAGTGCTGGAGCCAGAAGGCCTGAATTACAGCAAGATCTCAGAAAGGGACCAGCTGGCTGCCAGTGTGCAAAATACATGAAGGGTGGGAAGGCAAATTTTAGGAGGTGTTACTGTTGCTTGTGTAAGATCTTAGCTTTAGTCTGCATCTGTCCTAGTGAAGATTCTGGGCTCTCCAACTTTTCTCTCTATGGAAAAACTTGCCATTGGTTTTTCCACCACAGAGAATATGTGCAGAGTCTCCTTCAGGGCAGATGTATTCTAGGTTTCACTTCTCAAAGCTAATGAAGTGTGTATGCTGTCATCAGTGCGAGAGGGGGCAAATGAAGAGATCGCTGCTACAGGAAAGCAAAAAGCCAGCTTGTGAAAGAGCTACTGTGAGCAGATAGACAGACAATCAAAATCCTTTGATTCCTTGACCTTCTTTACTCTTTGGATGCAATTATGACCACTGAAAAATCTAGCTTGTGCCAACAGCAAAGCATCTCTTGTGCGTTGCTTCTCACATAACATCTGCTGTCAAGGCTTGCTTTGCTGCCTTCCTGGGAACCTTCCAACCTGTCAGTCTGAGTGAAAACAGCAGACAGGCAGGCAATGAATTCTCTCGGTTGGGAAGACATTTCCAACTTCCATCCCCTTCACTGGAGCCGCAGGAAAAGCCTAACCCTCTCCACACCCAGAACTACCATATGGACAGCCCAGAGCTATGCCAGGTATTTCTGAACTAAAAATCACTTCTCTCCCTCCTGGCTGGCAAGTTGGGGAGATGCAAGATGAATCCTTGCTAAGAGAAAAAAAAAAAACAAAGCAGATTTATTTTCTTGACAAACTAGTTGCTGTTCCATTTCCTAATTGGGCTGGTAGGATTAGTTTTACAATAACATTTCTATACCAGTATAGGCTTTAAGATGGTGTTACAATAAGCTTTTTCCTCCAGCGTGTTCTGTGATAAAGCATAGAGAAAGATTTTCCTACTGGGCTCTACAGCTACTTGTATCATGCACAGTGACTGACATGCCCGAGTTTGATCGCATTCCAGATTAAAAGAGCTGCACCTTCAAGGAGTACAGACAAGCCCTGAGCAAAAGCAGACTGAGACCTTATGTATCTTCAAATGTATGCCCAGGAGCAGGATAATATAGTCAGCAGGAGTCAAGATGACAGCCAACATTGTGCTCACCATATGGGTTCAGGTTTGCTTTTCCCCCTTCGGCATGCAAAGCCTTACCCCAAGTACACAATATGGTGCACTACAGTTCCTCGATAGTCTCAAGGAGTTGGTATTGCCAGAAAACCAAAATCTCCACAGCTGGGTACTGCATAGTTAAAGAACATGGATTTCACACTACCACATCTGGAATTTAAAAAAATCCAAAACACAACCCCCTTCCCCACAACTTCTAAAAACCACTAGGCAAAGCAAAAAGACTACAGAAAGAGTTCTGAGTGTCCCTTGCCCTTCTTAACAGGGAACTGGCTATATATGTGTGACAGACAAGGAGGGAACTAGGTCATGTCCCTTGCTGCATCCCCTGAGCCTTCAAGTTCCTAGTCATGTTTTCTGTACTATCGATCTGCTGTCCCTGCCTGTCTGCAGCACAGTACCAGCCAGGCACTCTGGGAAGGACAGCAGCCTGTAATAAAATCTGCCTTAAAATGAGATAAAGAGAACAGAAAAAGATACTGGCAGGGCTCAAAGTGTTTGACCCCCAGAGACTAAAAAGGGATAGAACTGGCTGACTGTTTTCAGGCAAGGTCTGAGTGCGAAAGAGAAAAGGCTTGCTTTCTGCCTTACCTCAGCAAACTACAGAGGGAAAAGCTCTATTTGTCCCACTAAATGAAAAATTATATGAACATTTCGGACCTGGCAGGAGTTACAGGCCTGGGGCTTCAATACTCTACTTTTATTACAGGACAAGTAGAAATTTGCTTCACTCTGAATAGCTCGGCCCATACAGCTTTCTTGCATACAAGTATTTTAGCCTCATTTCCAGAGTTTAGGATTCAAAAATCCACCGAAACTTAAATCTCAGGGAGAAGGAGAAAGAAAATATTTACCTAAATCCTATTTTATCTTATAGCTCCCTCGTCTGTCTCCCCATCTGGCCCTTTGTGGTGTTTTGCAGATGCACAGAGAATATTGTCATGTGCCTTTGGGGAAGAAGCAAAACACTCCGAAGAGAAAGCTCCCATATATCTGTGTGATCACTTAGCTCAGGGCCATGTGCCTAAGTTAGTAAGCTGCCATAAAACAAAGGTCTATTCCAAACAAACTCAGGACATTTGTTGGCTGAACCTCTAGCCTGGGGCACAGGGCTGGTGCCAGGCCAGGCGTTTGGGAAGGATGCTAACAGCGACATACTTCTGCACTGCAAAAGTCTGGGATGTTCTGACATCAAAGTCTGTCATTTTTTTCCACCAAATTCACAAACAGCATCCACTCAGCAGCATCAGTCCTGTTCCAGCTAAGTCATAGAATCACAGAACCCCAGGTTGGAAGGGGCCTCAAGGATCATCTGGTCCAAATTTTCTTGAATAAAACGCCCGGTCTAGATGAGGTGGCCCAACCAACGAGCCAACAAGTGGCTTCTCCCAATGCCTTCGGTAACACCAGATCTTTGGGCTTGGGGCAGAAGTTGCTCCAAGCTCTCCTGGTGTCTTCAACTCAAGTCCCACCCCAGCTCATGAGGTGTGTCATCCCCCCCCTCAAACATTTTGGGGTGCTCAGGCCCCGTTAGGCACGAGGGTGTGGAGAGGTGCTGCTGGGCATCACAGTGATGAAACATCTGGGGGAACAGGAGGAGCCTGGGTGGGGGCAAGTGGGTTAAATGGGGTAAAATGAGGCTGGAAAGAGTCTGGACTGGAGGGGACAGATTGTAGGGGGGACCCCCAAGTTGGGGAGACCAGGCAGTGCTGGCAGAGCCCCAGCTAATGGCCCTTTATAAGGCAACAAGCTCTATTCTTCTGGATACACAGGCTTGCCTTTCTCACACACGTGCATGGAAGCATCTCTCAGACAATTTAATGCAGATCATTTTCCCTGAAGGAGAACTAACCAAATATTAACAGCCAGCACACACGCCAGGGAGTCCATCCAACTCAGGAAACGGGAGCTTCTCTGTCTGCCTCTTCTTTGTGACATGGCAAGAAAGGGGGCTGAGTCTTCCCCCCGTCCCTGCAGTTTGTTGGGTCACACAGATCATCCCAACTAATAGGAAATGCAGGATCAAGACAGTGGAAAGTTGTACCAAAAACGTGCAGAGAAGTACTTGGCACTCCAGAAGCTTGAAATTTCTCTAACATTTAATTTAACATTTAATCAGGGCAAGTTATCCTTTTTTTTTTTTTTTTTTTTTAAAATTTTTTTTTTTTTTTTTTTAAAAGCCAAAGCTGAAATGTGAACGTTTCACCAGTCTGCATTCGTTTGTACTTAAAGCCATTAACCACAAAGTAACGGACCAAAGCAGATTAGAAAGAGGTGGGCTGCTAGCTCTAATGCAGCTACAAAATGCAAGAGTACCGACGAAGAAAGGGAGACAATGGATGTTTTGTTTCAGTTAATTTCACAGACAAGTGAGAAACAATTAATTAACAGTGAACATTAAGGACATTGAATTACTGCAGAGTACTTTAAAAAGCTTGTGGAAGACTCCAATGAGGGAAGAGTTGATGAAAACGTTTAGTGGATATATGTTAGGTGTAAGCAGAAAGAAAATACCCTGCTTTCTGCCTCCTTAAAGGTTTTCATTTTCTGGAGCTAAGGATCTTCTCCCTTTTATTTCTTCACAACTACTGTGCACATATGTGCTCTGCCACCCATCACTAAGTCATGAGGAATAATGAGAAATCCTCCTTCAGGAGGGTCTCTGTCCTTGTCAAAACATGAATTTCCACACCCCAACAGGAAGATGGAATAATTTGTTACTGTGTGGTTGTATGTGATGCATTGCTTCAGGTGTTAGGTTGCTGCTCTCCGTTTCCAATTCTTTCAAGCAATATTGTTTATAAAAGAGAACAGGAAAACAAACAAAGGAAAAAAAAACCCCACCATTTACAGAGGCTTTTGCAGTTAGATGATACTAAATGGGGTGGGAAATATGGGCCAGCCTCTATGCCTGGAACAAAATAAAACCAAACAGCATCTCCTCAACAGTTGCTCGGCGATGTACTCACCGCGATCAGGATCTGGAAGGAGCTGTGCATGACCTCGATGTACCGATACTCCAGGGCACAGCCTATCACGGAGATGTAGGAGTGGCTGTCCAGCCCTTTGATGCCAGACATTGAAGCCTCTTTCCTTACACAGCCGGGACCGTTTTCACTCCACCATGACTGGTGCCGGGAGATGTTGAATGTCAGGAGTTCGCTATCCTAAAGAGAAAAGTTGCCAAGAGAGCTCCGTTTATTATAAGAGTGTCTGGTATGCTGTCAGAAGGAGGTCATATTAAAATCAATGAAAAACCTGAAGTTTCTAAGATCCCCGCCCTCAAGAAGTGATACCACAGATCAAAATACATTGGCTTTATGCTCCTTGCAAGTATTTCACTAGCAGGCTCCTGCGGTGGGAAGTGTTTCTGAGGCAGGCCTGCAGCACTCCAACAATTTCCCCATCATGTAGCACACTTCAGGAGCAGGACTGAGCAACTTCTCCATCAGAAAGACAGTATCTAGGCTGCAGACCCAAGAATGCTTTGTTAGTGGTTCCCGCACCCAGAAAAAAAAAAAAATCCTCAAGTTATGGGTTTGAGAGATTAACCTTGCAAAACTAGAAGAAAAAAAAGGTAAATAAGGCAGCACTAAGCATCCTGTCAGAATCATGTGTTATGGGTATGCTCATTCCAGCATGGAAGTCAACACAGGTAACAGAGAAATATGAACTTCATAAACCTAAAGTGAGTTTCAAAACTCAACAGATCATCCTCTGTCCCTCTCTTTTAACACATCTAACAAGTTCCCTTGCCATTTCTGTCTTGATTGCCTTCCACACTCTTCACATATGGTGCTTCTACGTCTGCCGCTGACCTGACACGCTGTCAGTTCCCCAGCTGAGCTGACCTCACCGTGATGATTGCAACTTCTTGCAAACACTTCCTCAGTATTCCTTATCATCTCTATCTACCCTAAGAGAGGCTTTTTGTTTTGCTCTTCTCCTCTTTGCTAGTTCAGTAATTTAAACCATGCCATTGTGGGGGTCATATACTGAAACGCCACACTTCATTATGCAACCAAGTCCTTATTTAAAAATAATGACACTTCTCACACTTGAGAAGAGAGTGGTACTCGCTGGAGCACCCAGGAGAGTTTTGGGATTTTGAGCTTACAGGATGCAGCAAATCCCTCCCTGCAGATGGTAGAAGACAAACTCAGAACTGGCTGAAGAGATCAGTTGCGTCATTTCATGGATGAGTGCTAAGTGCTGGGCATCCCAGCAGCTCTCTTGGGTCACTTTGGTGTGGAACCAGCAACCCCTTTTGACCACAAAACAGGACAAGGGGTTGGAAGTTTTATTCTGGAAGACAGATTATCGAATGGATCAGGCAGAGAATCTGTGTCTCTACAGGAGAGAAATAGGTACTGGATATACACACCCCACTGAACCATTACTAAAGTTTTAGCACCACTCTATATACTACTTCACACGGCTTATGCCAGGGTCCTACACAGTCCCTGCAGGAAAGAGGCAGCTCCCAGAACAGCAACAGTCAGAGCTTGGGGCATTCACACTTCCTAACATGGGAAACCAAATGTAACAGCTCCTTTGCCTCGGCTCCCTGTAAAGTCAAGAGGGAAAAACAGATTCAGAGCGACTAATCCCGGCTCCTACTCTGAGTTACCCCCCCAGAGAAAGGATTTGTCTCTGCTGCCAGTACAGGAAACCAAGCCAGGTAGTTCTGCAGATACACTTTTCTGTGTCCATCTTTGTATCCTGGGGCAAACGAGTTACAAGAGCAGAAAATTTGAATGCCAGCCAGAAAACCCTGAGAACAGAAACCAAGTGCCCCACTACAGACTTTGTGCAGGTACCCTCCACTCCACCACAGATACTCAAAACCAGTTTGCAGAGCTGTTATTAAAATATGCTGCAGGAAGCACGTGTTAAGAAATGTGGACAATTAAGGGAGAAGACAGCTGCCAAACTCCTGACATAATCACCACAACAGATGGGATGTGTTTTACAGTAGATGGAGGAGGGCACAGAGATGAAGTATGGCACCAGTACAAAAGCAGCCCGAATAACAAATACAATAGGGAAAACTCTATTAACAGTTGGGAGTTTCGAGGGAGCTGTCTGCGTTTTAAAGGCTATGGGGAATAATTATTAGATTGGCAGCTACAGGAGAACGCACACAGTTCAAGGTGCTGGGCTATCTACATTTTAGAGAGGCAGTTTTTCTCTTCCAGCTCCTCACAGTTTTGGCAGGAGAGTCTTTGGCTTGCTCCCTCTGCTGGGCATTGCTCTTCAGAGGCCCACAGATATCCCGCATATCCACCAAATTGCATCTTTTCTGCAAAGCTTGTTCTTTCTCCCCAAAGTTTGCATGTTCTGAGACATACGGCTATTCCCCAGCAAACGCTTTTCCTCCTGGAGACAGCCAGGCTGCTGTGCTCTTCTCCCTCTCACAAGCCACTCAACACTTTTTTTTTTTTTTTTGAGAAAGATGATTCTTTCCTTCCCTGATCAAACAACTCAATTCCTATTTCTTTGCCTGCGGCTTCCCCCATCAGCACAGAAACAAAGCTGTTCCACAGGATCTACTCTTAACCTCGGTCCCCAGGGCTTCCTTCTGCCAGCTCACAGATGGTGCCTTCCAAACCTTCTGCCTCCCCGGTGCAAAGAGCCCCTTCAGTGCCTTCTCCGCTCCTTACAGAGGCATCTATGTGTATTTGGCAAAGTAAGAAACAGGCTGCTTCCCTTCTTGAACCTCCCTTTTGTCAGTCCTTATAGAATTGGCTCTGTCTTAGCTCTGCTGCAGAAGCTGAACTTGCTTGGGAATTAAGCCTGAAAAAGCGGAACAGGTGCTGGGCTGGAGGTGGGCAGGTGGAGGAACAGTAGGTCCTAAGCAGCACTCACTGCTTTTTGCCTGCAATCACACTCCAGCACCATGCAAAAAAAAAAATAAAAAAAAAATATATATATATACTTCAGTTAAGAACAGATTGGAAAAACTGAGTGCATTTGGATTCTAAAAGCACCACGACTGACACACATGAGCCATCCATCTCACAGATGTAAAATGAATGCTGATTGCACCCTGGGATTGTGGATGCCTTCGCGTTCACAGACACCTTTCTGAATAAGCATCTGTCTGGAGCACCGCAGGGCACGAGGGCAGCATGAATCAAAGGGTCTCAACATGCAGAGCAACGCCGATCCTTCGCTGGTGTCCCTGGCTGGGTGTCCTCGGAGGATACCTGTGCTGATGGGGCACAATAAAAGAGCATTCAAGGAAATCACTTAATTGACCTCCAGTTGCTCAGTGCTTGCTGGGAGACTGGAAAAACAATCCCAGGATGTCTCCTGTGGTTTGCCAGCTTCATTTGCAAGGAGATGGTTGAAGAAAAGTGCAACTACGGAAAACAGGAACAGCACACTGAAGTCGGGGAAAAAAGAACCAGTTGCAAGAAAGTTGAGGGAACAGCTGTTTCTTAAAACCTTTCTGCAATGCATTTGAAGTCTAAACAGACTGAAATACTCCCAGAAGTGGTATGCAGGTTGGAAGATGTTAATCAGTCCCAGAAGTGATCAGGCCCTGCTGTTGGGAGAGAGTGATCTGTGTGTAACTGCACTCCCCCTCATTTCTTGACAAGCTGCTATTTGAAGGGCTATTGCTTCCTCTTTAACCTTCAGCCTGAAGAGAAATATGAGCGAAGAGTGATACAAGCTCCTTCTTGGGAGCATGAAAAAAAAAAAAAAAAAAAAAAAAATCATCACATATCACTCCAAACTGCTGTAGCACCTGGTTGCCATCCATTTGCCATCAGTGTGAGAAGGATGACAACAGCACTAAAACCATAGTACCTACATTTTACAGTCTATTTTCTGCTCTCAGCCTCACCCCACTGTGTCCCACGGGGAAACTCACACCTACTTCTGACACCCACAGAGCCAGCTGTGTTCCTTTTCTAAAATAGTTCTCTGAAAGCTGTTCTGAAATTATTTTCTAGGGGACACTATCAGAGATGGGTTTATTTGTTCTTGTTAACAGCCGTCTGAACTGCCTCCCCCCCCAAATTTCCTTAATTATCAGGCAAGCCAGCACTATAATGGCTCTGGAAAGAAATTGAACCCTGTATGGGAGCCCCCAGAGCTTGACAGCAGAATCATTTTAAGCCTTTTCAGTTGGAAACATTTCTTATTAAAATAGGAAATACAATGTTTATCTTTCAGTCCTGTGTGCTGAATAGCTGTATCACCCTGAGACAACAGAGAAGCACTTTCATTGTCTCCCAGCAGGCTTGTTGACAATGCCACAGCATTTAAAGGCCAAATCCCAGGCTTCCAGTTCCTAAATTTAGATGGAGTTGAGGGACAGTTGTAATTACACATGCGTTTATCCATCCTCCTCACAGTATATTCTCCAGGTACAAAGTCATCCCAAGATGCTGTCCAGATTCTCTGGAATACAAATAACCCTCCATTCAACTAATAACGGCTGCTTCCATTTCAAGAGGAGATTCAGACCACCACCACAGCTCTGGATTCAGATCAAAGCACTGAGTAGACAAGAGAGAATATAAAGGAAGAGTAAAAAAAAAAAACAAAACAAAAAAACCAAACCCAAAAGCCTTCACCATTCCAAGATAAATAATTCCAGAGGGAAGAGACAAAGGAATACATAAAAATACACAACACCAATTCCTCAAACCTCTCTGAATGTTTCTCAAGTACATAATGAAGAGTCAATCAGTATGGCAGCTGGACAGACAGATGCTCACATGTCCTAACAGCAGGATTTTAATAATTAACTCAGACCATGGGGTTGCAGGAGGGACTGTGTTTCACACTCAAGTAGACAAGGGGAAGCTTAACGTGTTATTTCAAGCACAGCCTTGAAACTTCAGAGAGAACTCCCAAAATTCACCTAACCAAATGGCCAGATGGATAAAAAGAAGGAGATGGAGCAGGAACAGACCAGAGGAGGAAGAACAGCAATCTGGAAATTTGGCTGAGCCCCACCACAGAGCAGTGGTACAGCACTTTTGGAGAGGCTGCACTTCCCCCAGATGCTGCAAGTGTGCTCAGAAGTAGGAGCAGAGCAAGTCAGCAAGGCAACGCTGCCAAAAGCCGCTCGGAGGCACATCACCGTCTCACTGCCAACACTGAGAAGCATCCCTTCAAATCCAGATTGCTGTATTGCTTGCCTGCTCGTTGGCAAAGCACTTAGAGGAAAGCTGGCATAGGCTGCATGCTCAGGGAGGCCCTTGCAGCAATAAGGAAAGTGCTTTCTTAGACACTTAGGCTGATCCATTTCTGTCTGGCCACCTAATGAAGTTCTGCTGTGCCATATTTCACACTCTTATTCCTACTAAGAAGGCATTGCAAGATAAAAGTGACAGCACAGAAAAATAGAAATCAGGCCAGTTTAGTTCTTCCAAGTGGTAGAGAATAGTTTCACAGAGCAGGAGAGAGCATTTTCCTTTTCAATAACGGAGGGCAGTTATAACTAGAGGTTAGGAGGCAGATGGTTAGTAAACAGTTAGAGCTACCATGAGCAGGGTTGGCTGGCAAAGCCATTCGCAGGGTTCCCATAGCCAGGGGAGAGTGAGCACTGCTGGAGGAACCTGGAGGATAAAGGAGCACTTTAGGAAATTATGTGAAAGACAGGAGGAAAGAGAGGGTGAGAAGTGGCGGACAGGCAACCCAAGAGAGGAAAGTGTCAGTGGAGAAGGGATTTTGCTTGGTAAAGGAAAGCAAACAGCCAGCCCCCCAGCTGCAGTTCAACAACCACGCACCTACCAGCCCACATTCTACTGATGGCAGAGTTTATAACCAAGAGATGGGCTCTTACCCCTTTGCCAACTCACTGTGGGCTGGTGTTGGACCTTTCCTCACAGACCTCAACAGCCGTGGTGCCCCTGGTTTCTGTTCTCTAGGTCAGCCAGGCACCCACAGCGAGGGGAGGGACACAGGAACACGTGTCTGTGCTCAGCCCTGCACAGCACTCCCCTGCTCGCAGCTTGTACTCCCTCACCACTGAAACCAGATCGAGACACCAAAGCACAGACAATTATTTGCAATAAGTGCACATAACTGTTTCCTCATTTTTTAAATACTCCAGGCTCTCTCTAAACTTGTTATAGCAGAAACACTTGAATCCTTTCTCCCCTTTCTCACCCTACCTGAGCTATCACCTGTCTCACTTGCACCTGGCTGTCATTACCAGCCTCCAAGTTAACAAACTCCATTCTTTCTAGCTCATTGCCCTTCCTGCATTTTGTCATTATAAATTAGCCAGCTGCTGACAGAGATCTCCCTGGCAGGCTGCCCTTGTCAGGAACAGAGTGCTAGCAGGAACACTACTCTCCCACAGGCTCACCAGGAATCACAAGGAAACAGCACCTGAAGACCTTCCTCAGAGCTCTCAGCCCCTTAAGGGACTTGCCCAGGAGCACAGCCCTGTCCAAAACACCCCCCAGCGTATTCATGGTTAGTCTAGTGGTCAATGAGTTAGCCTTTACCTGACCAGCCCTATCAGCCTTCCTCCACCAAAGCTCTTCTTCTATTTGCCATCTATCTGCTTACTGCCAGGCTAATTACAAACTTTGACTTCTTATTAGGACCGAAAGCACAGCTTCCCCCCCAAGGACCAGTTCCTCTGCAGCACTGCTGCCATAAACCCCCAGCTGATACTGCCCTGCCCTCGTCCCCTCTAAGAGCCTGTTCAACACTTGCTCATCCAAGCCCAAGCGTCCTTCTGGGGTCTGATCTCAAGGCTACAGAGATCAGTAAGACTCTGCAGATGTCAGCTGGCTTTGGGTCAGGTTTCCAGGCGATGCAGCAGGACAACAACACTACTTGAGTCCAGCCTGCAAAGCACCACGCTGTCCTACACAAACCTGATTTCCTGTTTCAAGTTTATCTTCTGTTTTCACATGGATGTGAGGGGTTTGTTTTGCCATTACAAAGACCCAAATCACTTCTGTTAAAGGGGAGGAGGAAGAAAGAAAAGCAGCCTCATGAGTTTTTCCTGCAAGACAGCCTTTTAAAATTAAAATAACTCCTTAAGAACAGAGGCAAGGCCGTAAAGGATTTTAACACCAAAATAACCACAAATACTCTTGCTTTTGCCAGTTGCCACCAAAGGAACAGCACGAATTTCTCACTGAGGCTCTAGAGAGTAGCCCACTGAGTCGATAGCAACTTATACCGCAGCTCAATTCAATTAAAAAAAAAAAAGTCCCCAGTCACAAGAATCATCCTGTAAGCTAAATAAAGGTTCTCTGTGTGCTGGCTTTGCTAAAACGAGCCATAGCACAGGGCAAGGTTATGAGATGACGCTCCTCTGTAGCGGAGAAAGTGGAGTTTGCCGTGCTGTTTGAACTGCAGAACAGCAACCCGATGTGTTGTAGGGCAGGTTGGGATTAGTAAACACAAGTAATCAGCTGGCTGGAAGTAAACATTGGCCTTCAGAGAAGCTCTCAGAGCAGTTTATCACACCAGTATTTCCTCAGTAGAAGGGAGCATTTAAATAGTTACTTAAAATTCTTTTTTAGTTGGTCACAGCCAACACCGAGATCATCTCAGGCTGAGATTTCAGACCATGAGTAATCACTGTTTTGAGCAAGAACTCTCTCAAAGTTTCTGTGGATAATTGAGAGGGGAAATTGAGATTAATAGAGGAATTAGGAAGTTACATTTTCTTATCTGCAAAGGATTTATGCTGTCACTCATGGCTTGCTGTAGGCCTGATAAAAAAAACATAGTGCAGTTCCAATTATGACTGCAACTTAGATGTATGACCTGAGAATTTAAGCCAGACGTAGAGTGCTCAGAAATGAACCTGTATCCTATAATTGCTCCAAGTCTGCTAAGCTACAGCAGCACTTAGTAATTCATTGCTTACAGCCCAGGCTTAATTTAGGACCTGCCTTTCTGACTCACCCCTCATTAAGCAGACAGCAATACTTAGCTTATCTAGTCTTCAAAGAGCTTCACATATTAACTCACAACACCCCCGGCCAATAGCCATGAATAACTACCGCTGTATTTAAGAAGGAAAAATTAAGACAGGAGAACCATATCACCTCTGAGGCCACATTCAGAGATGTGCCAGCCTCCCCAGCATCCCTCTGGCTCATTCTCTGCTCATCAGAGAGAAGAGCCTCTCCCAAAAGGTGCAATGGGAAATACCGTGCCTGGTGTGGCAACAACCAGGTACCTGTCCCTGCTGCTGACGTGCACTAGGTCTTCAGCAGGACCAGGAGGCAAAAAGATATCAAGAGCTGGTCAGGTACAGAATTACAGCAAGGTCCTTGGTCCAGATCAACACAGCCAGACTGAATCCCTGCTGCAGCTCTTCCCTGGGACAGGCTGGCACACTCAGTGCCCCCCTTCTTCCCAAGCAGTGATCAGATCACAAGAGGATCAGCTATAATCTAGTTAGCTCATCGCATTCCTCAGCCACCTCTGCACTGTAGCTGGGGTTTAGCCCCCAAACCCCACCTCCCCTCAGGATGGCTCTGCTCCCAGGCTTGCTCTCACTTTACAAAGCAAATACACTCCACCTGCCCTGAGGGCAGGGTTTATTCCAGCCACCACCTGCACTGACCAGCAAAGGGCTCCAGAAATCAATATCAGCTCCCCATTTTTACCATACAACAAGCAGTACTCCTCCACCCCCTAGTAAGGCAGCTCTCTCCACAGGGAGGGTGTCTGCTCCCAAGCAGTACCCTACCACTCACCTTAACCACCCCCTGCCTCATCCCAGAGCTGAGCTCCCTCCCCTTTGATGCCAAGCCTGGGCACTCACCCATAAAGCTCCTACTCACCTTTGAGAGCCCTCCCACTTCTAAGTAAAAGCAGATGATGAAGATGTTCCAGGTGACCCAAACTGCAGTCCAGATGGCATACTAGAAGGGGATGGGGGAGAGGAGAAAGAAGCAATAAACATTAGGAAGTCACTGGAATTAGCTTAAATATATATGTGATGCAGCTGGGGGCAGTTAAATGCCCTGAGTTCGGTGCTGGAGTAATTCTCCTGTTTGTTTCCCATATGCAGATGGTCCCTCACCTGATTAGAGACACAGGGGCAGAAGTTTGGAGGGAGTAGAAGAGCTTCTGCCATGCATTTGTCCAGCATTTAGCTCTCCCTCTTTGTTGTGCAGTGTCTCAGTGTTACTTTGGTACCAGTAATAATTATCTGAAACCTTCCAAGTCTGGCGTAAGTACAGTAAAATTGCAGCACGCTGAACAATGTGTTCCTAAGCACAGCCAGACACCTCCTGCTAAAACTGTTTACAACACTCGTGCCTGATTTCCCAAGGGCTTCACTCAGTTCCTCATCACTTGCCATATCCCACGAGAGCAGAGGCTGTGAAAGGCTCTGAGTGGCTCTGAACAAAACAGATAGTACTTACCACCACTATGTAGCGAGGTCTATACTGAATAGTGCCAAACAGGCCGAGGATAACGATGATGATGTGGAGGAAGTTGGCTAGGATAGGGGCCCACTGGTATCCCAGGAAATCGAACACTTGCCTCTCTAATGCAGCAAGCTGGAAGGGAGAAGGAAAAGGAGAGTTACAACTTCTGGACTGATGATGTTTGTTCTCAAGGTTTTGACACGCTCCCTCAGCAAATCACTGCTGTGACTGAAGATGTTGCTCCAGTCCCAAAGCAATTTACTACCAGGTCAGTAGGACAGCACACGTGTCTACATGCCCCTGCTTCCACGTTTGTACCCATCCCATCTCCCCCGATGGCTGAGCCACCGCAGAGCAGTGAGCTCCAGTGCCCGTGTGGGGACACGTCCTCTCTCCTGTGCACTTTGCCAGGGGCAGGTGGCCCTGGCTGAGGGCAGAGGTGAGCAGCGGGGCAGTAACATCTTAAATGGCTGCAGCAGGACTTCCGAGAGCTCATTTGTCAGAGCCTTCAGCACCACTCCATCATTCCTGACACTTCTCATGTTTCTGCTCTCCAACACACATCCATCAAAGTAAGAGAGAGGAGAAAACTCTCCTCCACCTTCGCCCCACAGAAAATGCTGCCACCCAGCAAAGAGATTCTGCAAACGCATCAGTTTTCCGGGACAGGCTGTATTCCTCTCCAGCACTAATAACATGGTTCAAGGCTAGTATTATGTTCTAGAAATAAAACGCCATTACTGTTGAAGTGCTGGGCCTGATTTTCAAATCATATTTGCATAAAGATGTGCTTTTCATCTGTAGCTATCATCTGTGTATCAGGCAACAACTGTTCACCTGGATCTGAACTGCTGTCACGCGTGCAGCTGAAAGAGCACAGTAAACATGCAATTGCATGCCAGCCTTTCCATCCCCACAGCCTTTAAATACTTCGTCTGTAGGAAAAACGGTGAGTGAAGGGTGAAAAACAGTTCCTGCAGGTTTTTTCCCAGTGCCCAAGACCTTCTCTCTGCTTGTCTTCACTAACACAGAACAACCAACCTCCCCCCATTGCCCAGCAGCTTTGCTAGTGCTAAGGCACAGCAGGAGATTTCCCTATCAGGGCAAGGATTCAAAGTGTGTTTAAGTAACATAGTAGTACGTTGGGGTTGCATGATGACATTTCATATTTATTTTCACCTAAAGAAATGGTTACAGTTTGCCATCGACAGTCAATATTAATTTAACCACTGATGAGACATTAACCATGGGTGATCCTCGTGCACTGTGTGTAATCAGCTATGTGACATCTTTTCCTGGCTTGGCTTTTAAATGGCAGCTGGGGACCAAGCACTGGAGCTTCTGTAATGGTTTAAAGCATTTCAGGATGGGAGGGGTTGCAGGTCCCAATCAAGCCACAAAATGAGGGAAGCCACATCTCTTAAATGACCATCTTTCCTCCTTCACAGAATCACAGAATCATCTAGGTTGGAAAAGACCCTGGAGATCATCTAGTCCAACCGTTCTCCTAGCACAGTCCCCACCTACAGCATATCCTTAAGCTCCAAATCGACCCGACTCTTGAACACCTCCAGGGATGGGGACTCCACCACCTCCCTGGGCAGCCCATTCCAATGCCCAACAACCCCTTCTGGAAGGAAATGCTTCCTAATATCTAGTCTAAACCTTCCTTGGTGCAACTTGAGGCCATTCCCCCTTGTCCTGTCGCTTTCTACCAGGCTAAAGAGGCTCAAACCAGCTCTCTGCACCCTCCTGTCAGGTAGCTGTAGAGGGTGATAAGGTCTCCCCTCAGCCTCCTCTTCTCCAGACTAAACACCCCCAGTTCCCTCAGCCACTCCTCACAGGACACGTGCTCCAGACCCTGCACCAGCTTCGTTGCCCTTCTCTGGACACGCTCGAGTTATTCAATGTCCTTTTTGTAGTGAGGGCCCCAAAACTGAGCACAGTAATCAAGGTGCGGCCTCACCAGCACCAAGTACAGGGGCAGGATCCCTTCCCTCTTCTTGGATCAGTGGGGAAATTACCTTCACACCTCTCTTGGGCTAGGAGGGTATTGCAATTCTCAACGCTACCCTGGAAATTCAACAAAAATCTGTATTTCAAAGAAATCTCCATCAGCCCTGGTTAAGGGAGATCAATCAGCACGGAGGTAAGCAGCTTTTCCTCTCTGACATCTCACTGGCAAAGGCAGTCTCCAAATCTGTCTCTTCTGCAACATAATTAGCCTTCCCTTTGAAGCAACACCCCCTGCCCTGTTCTGACCCCTGCGAACCCCCTGGAAGATGATGTGAGATGTGCTGCACGGCCGCGCGTGGGGCGCCAGGGCTGGAACAGAGCAAGCACTGCTCGTTTCCCCGTTCAGCCTGCCCTCCCCTCCCCGAGCACAGCACATTTTCTGTATCTGATCAGAAACAGCAGTAATAGGTTAAATGCTTAATCTTTTAGGAGGGGATTAACGCACATACCTTAACGATATTTGGAAATTTTGAATCCTGACTGGCTGACAGTGGGTCACTTGACTGTGACCGCTTCATCCAATCAGGCATTTAATTGGCTTTGTGCATTATATTAACGCAGGAGTAGGTGCCACAAGAGCCGGCGCCCGCGGTGCATCAATTAGCCATGGGGACACAATGGGGGTATGTTCCGCAGAGATAACGCCCTGCTCAGCTTCACCTCATGCCCTCAGGCCCTGAAAAGGGGGATAAAGACAAATCCTTCCTACCATGCCTTCTGCCATGAGATTTCCCACTCTAGAATGAGGGCATCCATGTCTGGAAAAGTGTTTTTCTTTCTCCCAAATTAACATTGGCCGTGAGGGCTGTATAAAAGGGGGGAAGCTTGTCCTTTCACAGCTTTGTGATTGTTTCCTGGCTTGTTTGGATCAGGGAAGACGTTGGCCTGTGGAGTGGGAGGTACCAACCGTCCTGGTGATGGACCTGCCAATCTACACTGACTTCAGACTGGGGCACAGCTCCTAGCGAGCTCTCCGGTCCCCGACCACGCTGGATTTTTTCCCCATGATCCCAGCAGTTAGCTTCATGTCATACTTCCCTCTTCCTTACTGCAATTGCCCTTGTCTCCAGGTTGTTTCTGTCCTGATTTATGTTCCTTTGCCATTTTCTCTGCATTTCTTTTTTTTTTTTTTTTTTTACGGTTTTGTGTCCCTGGGAGCTGCAGGCGTGACTCAGCTGGTACAGAGATCTGCTGGGCCTGTCGGCTGGTTCAGCTAAGGCGAGCGGGAGCTGGGTCGGTACATCTTTGTGTGATGCGTGAGCTCAGGCAAGCTGTTTCCTCGTTTATAAAAATAAAAGCCATTTTCTGTAAGATGTGTGTTGATGGCAAGCGCAAACGCTACTGATGGAACTCTAACACCGTATTTCTGACACACAGGCAGTGAGTCTGTGCCGCGATCCAGAAATGCAGCCTGAAGTTACCCTGGGCTTAGCCCTGTTCCCTCAGGAACTCAGCATAATTAAGGAAATATTTGCTAAAAACAAATAGATAAACAACCACTTCACTCATTACGCTACAGGTCTGTGTGCAAAGCTCACCCATTAAATGCTGCTGAGATTCGCAGGGAAACAGGGTGATGTTTGTGCTAAGCTGGCCTTGGTTTGGGGGTTGGGATGTGAAGAATCTCATGGTACCCTTCACCCTGGTTCCTTCAGTCTGGCTCAGAAACGGCAGGGTCGGGGTTTGCCCCTGCCTACGGGTGTGATATATCTGCACCCTCGTTCTGAACCTCTCTTGGATCCCTCTTGGTGAGCAGGGAAATGCCATCCCATCTTTCTCTGCTGCTGCCAAGTTTCTGCAGAGTAATATCCTTGCTGTAGCGTGCTTTACGATGATTCACACTTTTCCATTGAGAAAGCCTATTATATTCTAGAGATATTGGTTGTAAAGAGAAATTTCACAGATTGTGGCACAGGTTTCAACCCATTCAAAGCTTGACAGGACCTTTCCATCAGGGAGGACAAATTTTTCTCCTTTATGACTATTCTTATTAAAAACAGGATTCCTTCTGCTCCTTTTGCTTCTTTAGCCCACAGAACATTTTTACTTTTCATTCGTTAAATGAAACGATTTGTTGCAGTACTAAAATCAGAATAGTTGTGGCAGACTTTTCTCTCCTGAAATAAAACCATATTTCTGCTGATCTGAGTGAAACTGGAATAGCAAATAACCATGTGAAGCAATTGTTAGCCAGACAAACAAAACCAGCCAAAGCTCTCTGTTGGGCTATCATTCATTTATACGGCCAGGAAAGATAAGAAATGCAGAGAAGATGTTCTGCAGTTTACAGAGCACACACACACTGAGCACAGACACAAGCCAGCACGGCGGGACACGCTCTGTAAGCCAGCACGGCGGGACACGCTCAAGGTCTTTACACCACTAAAACTTCACCAGAGAGAGAAACTGCACCTGAGCTGGAGGGGCGCGTTATCTGATGGAGCCCACCGCAGAATAGAAAAATAGAAAACATCTCAAATTGTGGAATACTTTCTTGTCGGGGGGTTCAAACCATTCCTGTTGTGTTTGCAATGGCTCTGGCAGGACAGTGTCACTGGCAGGTGTCGATGCCAGCATGGGCTGGGGGTTGCTTGTTGAAATTCTGGTCCCTCAAATTCTAGCCCCTCATCTTTGTCTTCTGTTGCTCCTGTTGTGCTGTGAAGCTGTTCCCCTGGTGCCTCCATACCGCTAAGGAAGAAGGGATGCTGATGAACAAGTCACCTGGAATTCTTTAACCCCCTGTCCTTTACAGCCTACTATCAAAGCCACGTTATCAGCTAGATTTGCTCTTCTTAGTTTCTTAAGCTTTTAAAGCCTTTAATCTTATTTGGTTTGGATCTGTGTCTTTCACTGCATTTGTGAAATCAATTGGGACACAAAATAACAAATATCACTATCGAGGTATTGGCACAACTCGTACAGATGCAGGAAAGATGCTCAGAAAGCCCAATGACAGGTACAGGTACGCAGAGGATGCCCTGCCTACACACACACACGTCCTTATGTATCTGTTCCTGCAAGCAAACCTGCTTTTACACTTCCCAAGCTCAGCTTTAATAAGAGATTTCTTTTAAAAATTAAATGCTAGAAATAAATTTACAAGCATGCAATAAATG